GCCCTGCAGCTGCACTCCGCTCTCCTTCAGCTGGCCAGCACATAGCAGGTTCACCTATATGACCGGAACGTAGAGCACGTCAGGGATGAGGACCCGCTTCCCGGCCTCCCCTTGCAGAGCGACGGTTCCTCAACCCTCGACAGGTTGCAGCGCCCTGTTGAATCCACGCACGTGCTTCACATCGTCGCTCGGTGCCATGTCGACGAAGACCGCCTTCGTCCCCATCAGGTGGAGGGAGCACCCGCTGTCAAGCAGCACCACCATCGGGTTGGCCTGCATAGCTGTCGCCACCACCTGGAAGTCCTCGTCAGCCTCCGGTGCCAGTGAGACTGTCGGCTCCACCACGCCGACCATCGAGCACGACGCCTCCCCGTCGCCTTGGCCCTTGCCGCTGGAGGTGTCGACGTCCTTCGTCGACGACGTCTTCTTCGACGTATGCTTCTCCTTGCGCGGCTTCTCATCTCGACGGGGGCGAAGGCTGGTCGACTGGCCACGGCCTCCCTTGGTGTCGTCCTCGTCCCTGTCGCCGCGGTCGGGGCACTCGTAGGAAAGATGGTCGGGGTCGCCGCAGATCCAGCACTCCTGCTGTCGACCACCACCTCCACGGCCCTTGCCCCGCGTCGACCTCTTCTCGTCGACGTCCTTTGTCGACCACCCACCTCCGCTACCCCCTCCGCCCTGCTTCCCGCGCTACCCTTGCTGCTGATTCGGCTTCGTCGGTGCAGCGTAATTTGCCTGCGGAAGGAGCTCCGTGGGCTGTTCTGCCTCCTGCATTGCCTCGTCTTGAAGGATGTAGCTGGTGATGGAGTCCTCGTCGAGGGACTCACGCGTGCCGAGCACCATCATCATCCTCTTCATGAGGTTGTAGCCACGCGGCAGGCCCTTGACGATGTGTCTGATGTAGGACGCCGTCGAGCATTCGGCTCCCATCTGCATCTCAGCCAGGATCCGTCGAGCACGGTTGCAGTAGTCCGTCGCCGAATCCTGCTCGCCCATCCGAATGTGTGTCATCTTCTCCTCCAGTTGGCCGATGTACAGGTCGTCCTTCACCTAGTATGTCGACAGGATGAAGTGCCATGCATGGTGACTAGCATCTAGTCGCTCTCGACAGCTCCTGAGCGCTAGCTGCACCACAGGCGAGCAGCACCTTGAGATGGCCATCAAGGTGAGCACGTGAGCAGCACGAAACTCCCTGCGCGGCTCGACATCCTCCTTGGGCGGAATGGGTACGGTGTCGTCGACGAAACCCTTAGATTGGTGCCCTCCAGCTGAGGTTCTATCGACTCCCTCCAGGTGATGAGGTCTCGTCGACCTTATAGCGGTGCGACGGTGATCCGGTCCGGCGAGAACTTGAAGTAGCCATACGCCGATGCAATCCCGCCCGCCGCCGCATGCGTCGTCGCCGAGATCCCTCCACCGCTTCGTAGAAGAGAGCGATGTCGAACATCGACGTCGACACGCGAGCTGCCTGCAGCCGCCGTCGACGCTGCACTCGGGCCTGAATCCTGTCGACGCCACCGCCGACCTTGATCACCCCTCTCTGCTTCGTGCCTTCGCTGCTGCTGACTCGTGCACCACCGTCGACCTCGTCGTCGACGCCACCTTCGTTGCGCACTGGTCGAGGAGATGCAGGGCGCGAAGGGTGTTCCGTCACCCACTGCGACCGGATGCCCAACTCGATGATCAGTAAGGGGATCGTCCCATACTCGCCATCTGCGTAGCATTTCCTCGCATCAGCCAAGCGTGCCTCCAAGGTGTCCGCTACACCCGCATCAGCTACGGGGTCGACGACGGTGAGTATCGCTGCTGTCGGCCTACGAACGACTTCGTAGGTGCAAAAGTCAGCTCCTAACTGAAGGTAATTTGCGGGGTCGTCTATGCTCACTGCACCATGCGAAGAGTCACCCTACAAAGGTGGTGAGCTAGGCTACGGGGGGGGTAGGCACGAACTACTAAGAGTGATCATAGCTTGCTTGCGTTCCTTAGCACTTGTGCATTCACGGGAGAAGTTGGCAAGAGTTTCACTAGCAAAGTTAGAATTGCAGAATGATAGAGTTCACAATGACAAAAATGACTAGATCAGGCACCTAGCAACCCTGCAGCTAGCCTGGTTGACCGCCAGCATTGCATGGTCGACCGCACTGCCAGCGTTGCATAGAGGAGCCGCGCCAGCACTGCAGAAGGGCGACCTGCCAACGGAGCAGGTCAACGGCGTACCAACGCTACAGCAAAGCGGCTGTCCAGCATTGCCCCGTAGAAGACAGCAGTGCGCACGCTCGCAGGTGCGCGCAGACGATTGGCCCGATTTGCCCTGTTGGGCATCCGTCGGCTGTTGTCTGCGCCTGACGAGCCACATCGACTTCGGGATACCAGCCCAAAGTCGCCTTCGCCATCGCGATTTCGACGATGTTCACGTGCCTCCGCAGAACTCGTCGAGCAGGTTACCCAGTCGGCCTAGTCGACCACCCAGTGCTCTGGTCGACCACCAGGAGCCTCCGGTCGACCACCAGGTGCCTCTGGTCGACCACCAGGTGCCTCTGGTCGACCACAGCTCCTGTCGAGCTACCCCGTGGTCGACGAACCCCTTCCGTCGACCAGAACCGTCAGCGGTTGTCGCCGAGCTCCCCTCGTCGACCGTTGCTCACTTGTCAGCTCGACGGACTGCTCCGTCGACCTCCCGGTCGAACTGCTCCTCCTGGTCGACGGCCCACCCATCACCCAGCCCAGTCAGCTGCAGCTGTCGAGCTCGCTGGTCGACCGCTCCAGCCCCTTGAGAGACCTGTACAGATCGACAGCCACCTCGTCGACCTGCCCTGCAGAAGAAGGCCGTCGAACACTCTTGGTTGACGGCAACACCACAGCGGTCCCCTGCAGCTCGACGAAGCCCGTCGAGCAGCTCTCCCACTGTGAACGGTCGGCTGCTTCTCCCGTACATCCGACCAAGTCGTCGGCGTTTCCCAAGCGAGGGCGGGGCCAACACTCCACTCCAGTTAACTGCAGCTTCTTCCAATGCTCGTTCGTCCCTACCCCTCCCTGAAACGACTCTGCTATTGCTGCTGCTGCTGTTGGTAGTGCTGGTGCTGGCGGTGGTTCACTTTCTGCTGCAGGTCTCCCTCCCCTTCATCTGCTTCTCCATCGTCGTTAGGAGAAACCTCAGTTGATAGATTAACCTTTCTCATATCACCACTTGCCCCTCCTCTACTTCCAACAACCTTTCCTCTCCTCTTACGGACCGAGTCGCCCCTTCTCTGCTCCCATTCATCCATCAACCCCCTCTCTCTCATCCGCTGTCACCATTTTGTCCCCCCCCCCCCCCCCAATCCAATAGCCCCATTTACAGCCTCTCTGCCTGCCTCCCTCCCTGCCACCCTTTTTTTTTCTCTCCATCAAGGTCCGCTCAGCAACACTCAGCTGCTCAAGGGACGGTTTCGTTGCTCTTGCTGTCCATTGCCTTGCTAAATTGCATCTGCTGCCGGTGCTACAGCTCCTGATGTTGCTGCTGGTGCAGCTGCTTCCACTGTTTATGCTGCTTCTACTGCTCCTACCGTACCACCTATGGTTATGCTACTGTGACGTCTTCTGACAGTGCACAGGAAGTAACGGGCAGAAGGGTAGATTGGAAAAACCCAGAAAAAGGGGCATGGATGACTAGCACAAAAAACCGTAGGATCAGAAACCGACAGATTGGACGGATGAGAAAGGTCAAAAGGATCAGAGGAAGCATGGGGGCCAATGTAAACATATACATCTTTGTAAGGTGTACTGTGCTAGCAGCGTTATTTCTTGTAAGGTGTATGACTTGTACACCCTGAACCGTGACGTCAGTAACACATCTGTCGTTTACTCAGGTTCGAAACCTATGGCTCGCGACTCGGGTCCCATCCATCCCTGTCGCATGCGAACAAAGTTTTTGCTCAAGAAGACTACACGCGTACCGTCGTGAACCACACGTTGGCACATTGACGAACCGTGGGGGCGGGCGGACTAAACTGCGGGCAGGCAACTACTATCCCCACCCACCCCAGATGGAAACAGGCGAGTGGTCGAGAGATTGTCACCTGGTACACGCGAGTGCACCGCTCTCGTAAACGTTCGTTCGTACAGTACCACAACTGTGGTGCTCGTTGCTGCTTTTAGTGTACTAACCGAAGCAGTCGCGGGACAGGCCGACTCGGAATGTCAAGTGTTAAAGCCCGCGTCCCAAATTGCGGGCCGCGAGGGTCAAGTTTTTAAAACTTGACGAAGTTGAGTGTCCAAGCTTTTGAAAGTCACGCACCTGCAATTTGGGACTTTCGAAGACAGATTCACTCACCAGGGGGAAAACCGAGGGTTGGCTGGGTCTCGCGAAAAAAACGAACCTAGACGAAATCGGAAACTCTCGCCAAAGCCCACACCAGAAAAACTCCCTCTGGTCAACTTTTAAAAGCATGAACAATTTGGGCCGCCGGCTTTAATCCGGGATTCTCTCGGAATGGAACGTCCGACCCCTCCCTCGTTCAGAGTGCCCCTTGCCGCCAAAACAGGAAATGTTTTTCTTTGGCAACCTATCGGGAAAAGTAGTATGTTTAGGGAACAATATCTCCGAGAAACGTATAAGAGCCGATGAATTCCAGCCGAATCTCTCGCCGCAAATTGCGGGTTCAACCAGGAGCCATATGTCTTCTTCATGTCGCGATTTCCCGTCGGGTTACGTTTCTCCTCTATCTCGTAGCCTTCGTTCGTGTCGCTGATGGTCTCGTCGACTGCCGTAACCTAAACAATCCAAGTAAGAGGCTCCGCTTCTCCCGTTCTCAGGTATCACCGCCGTTGACGGTTTCGTCGATATACTAAGCAGTCGAGTCTTAAGCGTACTTGCAATGACGGTTCTCCACTAAATTACCCTATATCTCCAACTCACTTCCATTATACCTTCTTTGGCCGGAACAGGTGAATCGTCAAACTTCCTCTCAAACCCAAGCTTCGATACAAGCTGTCTCGATACAGGATGGCGTCACAAGAAGCTGAACGCGTCGTGCGATCCATGGCCGTACTTATTCCCGTGGCGCGCGTTGGAACCTGGGGAGACACTCTCAACCGACGAGCTCTTAGCCACCGCCGCATTTGGCGGCGCAAACCGCGGAGCATTGCTCACTCCAGCGGGTGCGACACTGGTGGAAGCCGTGGCCGCGACAGCAGAAGTAACGGCATCGCCTGCTGACGTGACAATAGCGGATGGGGTCACGGGAGTCACGGACACTCTTCTGGCAGCTGACGGGTCCCGTTTTCTACAGCTGACTTCCGATTTTTCCGCGTCGTCTAGTGGCGACGGTGCTTCTGGTAGTAGCAATGATAGTACTAACAATAGCAGTAGCGCGTTTGGCAGCCCAGGCGTGACGCAAGCGCTGTGCGAACTCAAACCCGCCGCATCGCCGACCAGCAACGAGTCACAGCAGGCGCAGCAGCAGCAGCAGTCCCCGCGCCAGCTGTCGCTCTCGTTCTTTGCGCGCGCCAGCCTGTGCGCGGAGGGGGAAGGGGGCGCGGAAGGGGAGGCGGGGCGGCTGCTGAGGGTGCTGCTGCTGGCAGTTCCGCTGAACGCCTCCGCCGCCGCCACAGCAGGGGGAGATGCAGCTGCTGGGGGAGGGGCGGGGGAAGGAGGAGCGGGGGAGCAGGTGTGGGCAGAGTGGCGGGTGGGTGTGCCGTGTGGGGGAAGCAGCGCGAGTTTGTCCGGCGCCTTGCCTTGGTTCCACGTGGGACCCCTCCTCTTCCCCCTCCCTGACCTCCCAGATTCCTCCTCCTCTTCTTCCTCCGCCTCCTCTCCTTCCTCGCTGGTAGTGCCCCCAGGGGGAGTGGCGCTGCACTTGGTGATTCGAGGTGTGCAAGACAGTAACAGCAGCAGTAACAGCACGAGCGGCACTGCCACCGTTACCACCACCAGCGGTATTGCCACCGCCACAAGCAGCGTAGCTGCCAGCGGCAGTGAGAGCAGTAGCATCGGCGCCACCAGCGCCACTGTTGCTGCGAGTATGGGAGGAGGAGGAGCAGGAGAGGGAGCGGGAGTGAAGGCGGCGGCGGTAAAGCGAGTGGACGTGGCGTCGGAAGCGGGAGGAGGAGCAGGAGCGGGGAGCACGGCTATCGACCTTGCGTCTGTCATGCCTACCCGCAGTGAGTCAGAGAGGCAGAAATGGTTGGCAGGGTCACAGGTGTGTCACAGGTATAGTTGGCTGAAAGCATGCGCTGCACACATGCTCAACTCCCACTCAAGTGCATCATCGATTTCTCATTGCACGTCTACTCACAATCCCACTTCCCGTTCACCTCCTCCCTCCCTTCCGCCCCACTCCCCATCCCTGTCACTGCCCTGCAGCCGACCCCTCCCCTCTCAAGTCCTCCTCCCAATGGCTCTCCAACACCCAAGACTCACTCATTCCCCCTCCCTTCCCCATCCCCTCCTCTCCCCCCTGCCGCCCTTCCCCCCCACTCCCCATCCCTGTCACTGCCCTGCAGCCGACCCCTCCCCACTCAAGTCATTCTCCCACTGGCCGCTCTCCAGCGCGCACCCGCTCATCACAGCCGGCTCAGCTCGCCGCAATTCATCCTCCCTCTCCCTCACCTCACTCTCCGACTTCAATTCTGCCTCCCTCGCGCTGCACCCTGCCCCCTTCGCCCTGCTCGCCCCCGCCACGCCCGCCTCCCCCTGCCGCCCCTTCTCCTTCTCCACCTCCTTCACCTTCCGCATCTCCTCCCCCAATGCCGCCGGGCTGGGCGGCGAGGGCTTGGCGTTTGTGATGCTGCCAACGCCTACGCTCGGCCTGCCGGGGCCCTCCCTGGGCTACGGCCGTGTGCTGCTGCCCCCGGGGAGTACAGCTGGTGCTGATAATTCCAGTTCCAGCAGTGGCGTGTCATCTCAGGTATGTGTTTCCTAAAGAACAGCTCCTTTCTCTCAATTCGGTGGGGATAGGCCGGGAGGGCATAGACTTTGTGATGATACCATTGCCCTCGTTCGGCCTACCACAAGGAGGTATGCTCATCAGTTTCATCTCTTTCTTCTCGCTCGCCTCCCGTGTTTCGTCTTCCTTCTCTTGCCTTCCGTCTTCCTTGTTCATTGTCTGCTGCTCTTCCTCTGCATGTCTTGCTCTCTTTTGCTGCTGCTTTGCGTTTCTGCGGTTCTCTTTATCTGCTGCTCCCCTTTGCTGCTCCCCCTCCCATGCACAGCAGCACAGGAGCCTCGCGGTGGAGTTCGACACATCTAAATCTCTCAAGCACTTCTCCCTCCCCTCCCTCTACCATCCACAGCAGCACAGGAGCCTGGCAGTGGAGTTTGACACATCGGCCTCCCTGGAGTTCTGGGACCGCCCCGACCACCACGTGGGGGTGAACCTGCACGGCAGCATGCTCTCTCTCGCCTCTGCCCCCGTGCACCCCCTCGGCATTCCCGCCCTCAACGCCGGCCAGACCCTCCTCGCCACCATCCACTACAACGCCTCCTCCTCCCACCTCACCGTCTACCTCTCCCCCGCCCCCGCTCCTTCCTCTTCCCCCCCTCCCCCAACCCCGCTCTCCTCTCGCTCCTCTTCCTCCTCCGCCTCCTCCCCCTCTTCCCCCTCTCTCCCGCGCTCGGCCGGGCTCACCACATTCCCGAACACCTGCTCTAAACGTTCTCCTCGCTTCCCTCACTTCCCTGGTTTCAATCGCTGCCCTCGCCCCTCCCCCTCCTCCCCGTCCGCCTCCGCCTCCCCCCCTCTCCCACGCTCAGCTGTCCTCTCCATGTTCCTGGACACCTGCGAGTGGCTCGGCAGGAACGATCCGGATGCAGTTTCCCCCCCCCCGCCGCTGTTGGTGGGATTCACAGCGGCCACGGGCAAGGGGGCGGAGCAGGCTCAGGCACATGAGGTGCTGGGGTGGGATTTCCAAGTGGGGGAGGGTGAGTGATTTGTTTGAGAGTGAGCTTAACTTTGGTGTACAGACACATAGTGTGCGAACTCTTGAGTGACCCTAACAAGTTAGAACACAGCGGCCACGGGCAAGGGGGCGGAGCAGGCTCAGGCGCACGAGGTGCGGGGGTGGGATTTTGAAATCGGAGAGGGTGAGTATAGTTCACTTGCCGTGCCCTTGCATTACTTGATCACCTGTGAATAGCTCGACACGTGTGAGGAGCTTGGGAGGATGAGTTGAGTTCAGTTGTCTCCCCACTGCCTGATGTAGGCCTGGTGTAGGCCTGGTGTAGGCCTGGTGTAAGCCTGGTGTAAGCCTGGTGTAGGCCTGGTGTAGGCCTGGTGTAGGCCTGGTGTAAGCCTGGTGTAGGCCTGGTGTAGGCCTGGTGTAGGCCTGGTGTAAGCCTGGTGTAGGCCTGGTGTAGGCCTGGTGTAAGCCTGGTGTAGGCCTGGTGTAGGCCTGGTGTAAGCCTGGTGTAAGCCTGGTGTAAGCCTGGTGTAAGCCTGGTGTAAGCCTGGTGTAAGCCTGGTGTAGGCCTGGTGTAGGCCTGGTGTAGGCCTGGTGTAGGCCTGGTGTAATTCTGATGAAGGCCTGATGTTGGCCTCGGGTGTGTGGGATTTCTTGCCTGCAGCACTGGTTGGCAGGCAAACGGAGGGAGGGACCGGGCGCACACGTGAATGGTTTCCTTATTATGTGCTTGTTTACACAGTTACATGGTTACACGGTTACACGAGTACACCCCATGATCCCCATGGTGCGGGCTAAGAGGCACGCACACACCCCACGACTCGTGGTGTGATTGTTGCCCTCACGCAGTGACTTTTGTGTCGACTCAAAAGTCACCTAGAGGCACGCACACACCCCACGACTCGTGGTGTGATTGTTGCCCTCACGCACTGCACTCCTTCAGCCGACCCGAACCCTCCCCCCTCCCCACCCCACCCCTGCCCCCCCCTGTCCTCTCCCCTTCCCCCGTCGCACATATCATGCCCTTCCCCCGTCTCACAAATCATGCCAACCCCATCATGCCAGAATGAATTCGCTGCCATAGTGAGTGAAGCTCCAAGAAACCTACCTCCCATAGTCCCCAGTGTCCCACAGTCCACACCCTTACCCTTCCCTCCCCCCCCTTGCCCTCGCCCCTCCACCATGCCAGCCCCAGAAGCACAGAATACCCAGATCCTACCTCCCATAGTCCCACTGTCCCACCCACCCACGGTCCACTGTTGAGGCGACTCAAAAGGAACCTACCTTCCTCCCACAGTCCCACGGTCTACACCCTAGCCTAAGGTTGAGAGCATTTCTTCATGCCTACCCTAACCCTCTCCCCGCCCTGCCTGCCCTCACCCACATTCCATGCCAAACCCAGCAGCGGAGGATCCGCTTCCGTTTTGGGCAGCAGACTCGTTCTCCTTCCCCTACATCACGCCAGCCACTCCCCTGCTGACACGTGGCAGCACCAGAAAACGCTTCTTCGCCGCAGATCTCTCTGTCGCTGCTGACGTGGCATCATCCAGTGGCCAATCGGACGATCCCGCCCCCGGAGCCATCTACTTCCCTCGCCGTCTCCCCCTCCTCTACTCTTCCTCCTCCCCTCCCTTCCCACCTCCTCCTCCTCCTCCTCGTCCTCGTAGCTCCCCCCATTCCTCTCCTTCCTCCCCTTTTCCCCAACCCACAGCAACCGAACCCCCAACCTGCATGGCTCGCTCTTTCACCTTCACATACGGCTTTTCCCTAAATGTATCTGCTTCCCATGGGCTCGCGTTCGTTATAAGCACTCATGCGACCCTGGGCCTAGGCGGGCTTTATATGGGGTATGGCCGGGACCCATCCTTGCGACTCTCTAATGGCAGCTGGCCGGACGGCGCGTGGAGTGTAGCTGTGTTTTGGCACCCGGATATGGACGATGTATATACTATACACTTTGGCGTTAACACTGACTTCAACATGACTTCGATTTTTACGGGGAAGTTGTCAACTGTCGTGGAGCCTGAGGAGGTGTTGCAGATGAGGGTTGACTATAACGGGAGGAGCAAGGAGATGCTGATCAGATGGTACCAACCCCCTGTTCTAGTAGGCAGCTTGAACGTCTCTCTTGACCTCTGTGCTGCTCTCACTGGGCCCTCTGCTGCCAGTGGAAGCAGCAGTGGCGGCGGCGGCGGCAATGGTAGTGGCAGTGGCAGCGGCAGCAGCGGCAGCAGCAGCACCACTACCACCACCACCACCACAAGTGGCAGCAACAGCAGCAGCAGCAGCAGCAGCAGCAGTGACAGCAGTGCAACGGACCTGTCGTCACCATCCTTTGGCCAGCTGGTCGTTGGGTTCACCAGCGCTGCTCTCCCTCCCCCCCCTGACCGCCTGCCTTCCCCCGTCGCCCTCTCCTCCTGGACCTTCCGATTCACAGGTAGGGGGGAGGGGAAGTGGGCGAGATGGGGGGTAGGAAAGAGAGAAGGGCTAGTGAGCCACGTGCCCTGCCTTCCCCCGTCGCCCTCTCCTCCTGGACCTTCCGATTCACAGGTAGGCCCCTTGCAACCCCACGTATCCCCTTGCATTCCCGCGTATCCCCCTTGCAACCCCACGTATCCCCTTGCATTCCCACGTATCCACTTGCAACCCCACGTATTTCCTTCAACCCCATGTATCCCCTTGCACCAAGGCACCTGCCCCATGGGATTCGTTTACCTTGTGTATCACACCTTCTCTCTCAAATATTCCTTGTTCTCGTTTTCCCTCCCCCCCAACAGACACCGACCCCTGCAAGGGTTCTCCGGTGCTGCCCTGTGGCATGGGTGCATGCACCAAGGCACGTGCCCCGTGGGACCCGTCTATCCTCGTGCCCTCCTGCAAGTGCCCCTTGAAGCTCCCCTCCTTCCAACCCTCCCACCTCTCCGGCCTGCCCTCCTGCTTCCCTGGTGAGACGTGGAGTGTGGTAGGCAAGAGGTGGAGTGCGGTAGGCACGAGGTGGGGTGCTGTAGGCAAGAGGTGGAGTGCGGTAGGTGAGAGATGGAGTGCAGTAGGTGAGAGGTGGAGTGCAGTAGATGAGAGGTGGAGTGCAGTAGGTGAGAGGCAGAGCGCAGTGGGTGAGAGGTGGATGCACTAGGTGCCCTTTTGGTTTGTTTGTGGATGATATAGTTTTTTACGCATGCACTCATTCTAGATCCACAACATTCTTCAGAAAATGAAAAAGTTTGTACTACTAAATCTTTAATCAACCTACTCTTTTTTTTCTTTTTCTTTTCTGTTGAAATTTTACAAATGGTTTGCACTCTAATGCACTATGTCCGCTCCTGCAATACCCTTCTTTCTCGTTTCCCCTCCTTTCCCACCCACCGCCTTTCCCCTTCCCGTGTCTTCCCCTTACTCCTCTTTTCTCGTTCTCCATCCCCCTTTCCGCTTGCCCCCTTGTCCCCCTGTCCCATTTTCCCGCTGTCCCCTTTTCCCCTCAACCTCTCACTAGATTCCTTCACGTGTCATTAGCTCTTCCACAACCCATGTGTACCCCTGATGTTCCTTCCCTGTTATCAGGGATTTGGATCAATGGTGTGCTGCTGTGCTGCTCACTCACTTGCTATAAGTAGAGTTGTGAGACGTCTCAAAACTCTACCTTTCTCCCATGTGCTCCTGGGGGTGTGCATCGATGGTGTGCGCCTGTGCTGCTCACTCACTCCTGCTCTCTTTCCACTCTGCTCCCCCGATTCTCTTTCCCCTTCCCCCCCTCCCTTAAACAGACTCCTTCACGTGTCGCCAGTTCCCCCGCAACCCATGTGCCCCGGGGGTGTGCATTGATGACGTAGACGGCACCTACTCCTGCCTCTGCCCCTCGCCCTTCTTCCCCTTCTATTTCTACCCCAAAGGCGCTGCCCGCTGTTACCAGTGTGCGTATCACTTGTCAGATGGTCTTGCTTGCCTCGCTTGCTTGCTTCCTTGCTCGCTTGCTTGCTTGATTGCTTGCTTCTACCAGCCTTTGCCCCTCGCCCTTCTTTCCCGTTCACTTCTACCCCAAAGGCGCTGCCCGCTGTTACCAGTGTGCGTATCACTTGTCAGATGGTCTTGCTTGCTTGCTCGCTTGCTTGCTTCCTTGCTCGCTTGCTTGCTTGATTGCTTGCTTCTACCAGCCTTTGCCCCTCGCCCTTCTTTCCCATCTACTTCTACCCCAAAGGCGCTGCCCGCTGTTACCAGTGCGCGTATCACTTGTCAGATGGTCTTGCTTGCTTGCTCGCTTGCTTGCGTCCTTGCTCGCTTGCTTGCTTGATTGCTTGCTTCTACCAGCCTTTGCCCCTCGCCCTTCTTTCCCGTCTACTTCTACCCCAAAGGCGCTGCCCGCTGTTACCAGCGTGCGTACCACACGGTCAGCTGGTCTTGCTTGCAGCGGCTCTCAGCACATCACATGGACCTCGTATCTCCTGTGCTTACATCTTATTGGCTCATCCCATGGACTTATATATCGCTATCGTTATTTCCCCATGCATGCTCACCCCATGCATGCCTACCCCGTGCATGCCTACCCCATGCATGCCTACCCCATGCATGCTTACCCCATGCATGCTTACCCCATGCATGCTTACCCCATGCATGCTTACCCCATGCATGCTTACCCCATGTATGCTTACCCCATGCATGCTCACCCCATGCATGCCTACCCCATGCATGCTTACCCCATGCATGCTTACCCCATGCATGCTTACCCCATGCATGCTCACCCCATGCATGCCTACCCCGTGCATGCCTACCCCATGCATGCCTACCCCATGCATGCTTACCCCATGCATGCTTACCCCATGCATGCTTACCCCATGTATGCTTACCCCGTGCATGCAGTGCGATTGGCTGAGACTCGAATGCCCACCTTTCTGTCGCCATACGGCCTCACATGCGCGCTCATCCTCAACACATACGGGCTCACCCAAGCAGACTTCTTCGCCCAAAACAAGGTCCGGAGTTGAACTGAAGGTAGGTATATGCTGTGCTTTGTTTAGATCTGAAAGGCATTTCAGTTGAAACATTACCTGAAAGGCTTTGGTTAGGGAGGGGTGTTAAGCGGAAGGGAGGTTGAGGCTGTGGTTGGGGAGTCAGCATGTTTCACATCTCATCATCATCAGGTGACATTGCATCGCATCTCTTTATCTCAAATGCCCGCTCTCTTGTTTTTCAATCCTCAACTATTTTTGAGCCGCCAAAAAAGTCTTCAACAGTTTTTAGGCCTGTGACTCACACAGGCTAAAGGTCTTCAGCCAAAACAAGGTCAAGCTTTTGACAGGTTTCACAACTACCTATCAATTCAGGATACTACAAGTTACATCGGATCGGATCGTGTGGCATCACGCAAACGCATAGCCTTTTATACTGCCCCCTTTCTAGTCACCTCACCTGCCCCTTTTTCTAGTCACCTGCACCTCATTGCCAGGCTTTCTCCAGCCGGGCTTTCTCTCAACGCACTGCCATGTACATTTGAGTCAACTCAAAGGTCATCCTCCATCTCTCCTTGTTCTGACTGCAGGGCTTTCAATGCCGAGCGCCCATCCCTGTAGACACTCTGGTCAACGTCACCAGCCGGGCTTTCTCCCAATGCACTTCCATGTACACCGCTAATTATGTACGTGCCATTGTGTCGCAGTATTTTCCAGTGCGTTTATATAAGTGCCAGTGCGTTTATGTAAGTGCCAGTGGGTTTATATAAGTGCCTTTCAGCCTAACCTCAAAACTTGCCACCCTCATCACTGCTCATTCTGAATCTCCGCCTGTATTTGCAGTTTCCCCTCCCCTCCCTCCATTCACACTCCCTCCATCTGCCCCCTCCCTCCGTCTGCTCACTCCCTTCATCCCCCCCTCCCCTCCCTCCATGTGTGCCGGCAGGGTAACTAGTACGACTCGTCCCCCAACGCCCTCCTTTCTCTTTCCCTGCCACTCACTCACCTCTTTCCCTGCCGCTCACTCACCTCTTTCCCTGCCACTGACTCACCTCTTTCACCTCTCTCCCTGCCACTCACTCACCTCTTTCCCCGCGACTCACTCACCTCTCTCCCTGCCACTCACTCACCTCTTTCCCCGCGACTCACTCACCTCTTTCCCCGCGACTCACTCACCTCTTTCCCCGCGACTCACTCACCTCTTTCCCCGCGACTCACTCACCTCTTTCCCCGCGACTCACTCACCTCTTTCCCCGCGACTCACTCACCTCTTTCCCCGCGACTCACTCACCTCTTTCCCCGCGACTCACTCACCTCTTTCCCCGCGACTCACTCACCTCTTTCCCCGCGACTCACTCGCCTCTTTGTGAGAATCCCATAGTTGGGATGAGCGGTGAACTCAAGAGTTGATTTGATTAGAAAGATCGTGGGTACATATAAGCGATGAGAAGTGGGGGACCTAGGTTGGGTACCCGCAACATTATTGGTGAGCCAATGGGAGTGGCCACCAATAATGTTTTGGAGGTGGCTGCCAATTATTGGGGGGCCTGGTTCCCCCCGCCAATTGTGGCAGAGTGGGGTTGGGACGCGCCCAACCAGAACTGGTTGGGGCGCCTTGGCCCAAAGTGTACACCCATGTTTGGGTGTTACACTTGCACATTTACAACCCAACTGATGCTATAATCTAACACAACCCCTTAGCAGAAAAAGGGTTTAAATGTGCACAACCCCTGAATTTTCAAGCCGGGAGGGGGGCTGCTGCAGGTGAGGAGGCAAGCCAGCCCAAGGTGCTGCGGCGGTGAGGTCGCACGCCAGCCGGGAGGGGGGGGCTGCTGCAGGTGAGGAGGCAAGCCAGCCCAAGGCGCTGCGGCGGTGAGGTCGCGCGCCAGTCGGGAGGGGGGCTGCTGCAGGTGAGGAGGCAAGCCAGCCCAAGGTGCTGCGGCGGTGAGGTCGCACGCCAGTCGGGAGGGGGGCTGCTGCAGGTGAGGAGGCAAGCCGGCCCAAGGTGCTGCGGCGGTGAGGTCGCACGCCAGCCGGGAGGGGGGCTGCTGCAGGTGAGGAGGCAAGCCAGCCCAAGGTGCTGCGGCGGTGAGGTCGCACGCCAGCCGGGAGGGGGGGCTGCTGCTTTTTTTTTTTTTTTTTTTTTTTTTTTTTTTTAAAGATAGTCAAGGGTGGAAGGAGGGGAAGCGGAATGGATGGTCCGGAGTAGGAGGGAGAAAAGGAAAGGAGGGCTGGATGGCCCTTTGGAGGAGGAGGCGAGGGGGAAGGGGGAGGAGGGCAAGATTGCCCTTAGGAGGAGGAGGAAGCGAGGGGGAGGGGGGGGAGGAGGGCTGGATGGCCCTTAGGAGGAAGCGAAGTTGAAGAGGGCTGGAATGCCCTGAGGAGGAGGAAGCGAGGGGGGAGGAGGGCTGGAATGGCCTGAGGAGGAGGAAGCGAGGGGGGAGGAGGGCTGGAATGCCCTGAGGAGGAGGAAGCGAGCGGGGAGGAGGGCTGGAATGCCGTGAGGAGGAGGAAGCAAGGGGGGAGGAGGGCTGGATTGCCCTTAGGAGGAGGAAGCGAGGGGGGAGGAGGGCTGGAATGCCCTGAGGAGGAGGAAGCGAGGGGGGAGGAGGGCTGGAATGCCCTGAGGAGGAGGAAGCGAGGGGGGAGGAGGGCTGGAATGCCCTGAGGAGGAGGAAGCGAGGGGAGACGCGGAAGCGAGGGGGGGGGGGAGTGCTGCAAGGCCCTGAGGAGGAGAAGGCGAGGGGAGAGGAGAGGGCTGGATGGCCGTGAGGAGGAGGAGCAAGGGGAGAGGAGGCTAAAAGGCTTCAAGGAGGAGGTACAGAGGGAAAAAGGGGCGGAAGCGTGTTGAAGAGAGGGTGAAGGTATGGAGGAACGCTGTGAGGAGCGGCGTGGTGGGCGAAATGCCCTCGGGAGCGAGACTGACGGGCGAAATGCCCTCGGGAGCGAAACTGACGGGCGAAATGCCCTTGGGAGCGAGATTGACGGTCGACGCGTTCGTCCCGCAGGTCCGCGCGTTCGTCCCGCAGGTCAGCGCGTTCGTCCCGCAGGTCCGCACATTCGTCCCGCAGGTCCGCGCGTTCGTCCCGCAGGTCAGCGCGTTCGTCTCGCAGGTCCGCGCGTTCGTCCCGCAGGTCAGCGCGTTCGTCCCGCAGGTCCGCGCGTTGGTCCCGCAGGTCCGCGCGTTCGTCCTGCAGGTCAGCGCGTTTGCCCCGCAGGTCCGCGCGTTCGTCCCGCCCGCAGGTCCGCGCGTTCGTCCCGCAGGTCAGCGCGTTCGTCCCGCAGGTCAGCGCGTTTGTCCTGCTGGTCGGTGCGGATAAGTGCCGCAAACGCCGCGAAGGGAAGCCTGAGGAAGGGGAGCAGGCTTGTGGTGCAAAGACCATGAAGGTGGCACGGGCCCGAGGATCTCCGCTTTTGAGTCGACTCAAAAAAAGACCATGAAGGTGGCACGGGCCCGAGGATCTCCGCTTTTGAGTCGACTCAAAAAAAGACCATGAAGGTGGCACGGGCCCGAGGATCTCCGCTTTTGAGTCGACTCAAAAAAAGACCATGAAGGTGGCACGGGCCCGAGGATCTCCGCTTTTGAGTCGACTCAAAAAAAGACCATGAAGGTGGCACGGGCCCGAGGATCTCCGCTTTTGAGTCGACTCAAAAAAAGACCATGAAGGTGGCACGGGGCCGAGGATCTCCGCTTTTGAGTCGACTCAAAAAAAGACCATGAAGGTGGCACGGGGCCGAGGATCTCCGCTTTTGAGTCGACTCAAAAAAAGACCATGAAGGTGGCACGGGGCCTAGGGAGGGGCCGAGGATCTCCTAGGACAGCACGGTGGCTGGAGGTTCCTAGGGAGGGGGAAGGTGGCGTTAGCCAAAACAGCTCTGATACCATGTGAGAATCCCATAGTTGGGATGAGCGGTGAACTCAAGAGTTGATTTGATTAGAAAGATCGTGGGTATATATAAGCGATGAGAAGTGGGGGACCTAGGTTGGGTACCCGCAACATTATTGGTGAGCCAATGGGAGTGGCCACCAATAATGTTTTGGAGGTGGCTGCCAATTATTGGGGGGCCTGGTTCCCCCCGCCAATTGTGGCAGAGTGGGGTTGGGACGCGCCCAACCAGAACTGGTTGGGGCGCCTTGGCCCAAAGTGTACACCCATGTTTGGGTGTTACACTTGCACATTTACAACCCAACTGATGCTATAATCTAACACTCTTTCCCTGCCACTCACTCACCTCTTTCCCTGCGAGTGTTTGCCTTCCCACCACTTGCCTCAAGAACCCTACTCCCTCCATCTTCCCACCCCCATCCTCGGTCCCTGTGTGTGTGCAGGTTGGCAAGTGTGAATCCATGAACCCCCTATTCTCCATTCAATCCCAGCTGCTCAACTCGATCCTCCAATAACCGCGCTTTCTCTCCCACTTCCTGCTATACCTTACGTGATGTGTGTGTGTGTAACGGCAGGGTGACACGTGTGACTCACTCAACGCCCTCTTCTCCACGCAGATACAGCCGCTCAACCCCGCCCTCACCTGCTCCGCCGACGGGCCCAGGCCCGGCCAGGTGAGCATCGGTGCAGGTGGGTGCAGGTGGTTGCAGGTGCAGGTGGGTGCAAGTGAGTTAGGTGAGTGCATGTGAGTGTGAGTGCAGATACTCAGGTGAGTGCTTGCTGCAGGTATGTGTTGGTGGGTCTTGAGGGGTGGAGGTGGGTGTTGGTGAGTGTAGATTGGTCAAGGGGGGTGTAGGTGGAGGTGAGTGTAGGTGGGTGCAAGAGAAGGCAGGTACGGTGTTAACTGATGCTGCTGCAGTGACAGATCATCAGGGCAGCCCCTCTTTATACAGGTCTTTGGAATCAGGGTGACTTTTGAGTCGACTCAAAGATCATCAGGGCAGCACATCTTTATACAGGTGTCTAGGATCTGAATGCTCGCACTTGAAGCTGTTTTCCGTTAATTTGTAGCGAGGGTGTTTTTGAGACGTCTCAAATACACCCTCGCTACACGTGACAATGACACATCATCAGGGCAGCACATCTTTATACAGCTGTCTAGGATCTGAATGCTCATATTTGAAGCTGTTTTCCGCTAATTTCGCCAGGGTGCGAATGCCCGCTCTTTGAATCTGCTAGTTTGAGATATTACTGCTTGAGATATGACTGGTTGGTCATTAAAGCCCTTGATTGGCTACTGCTCATCAAAACTACATCACATCGCATCGCATCGCATCGCATGAGATCACATCACATCACATTAAATGGCATTGCATCATGTCACATCACACAATTTGTTCTCCAAACTAGATCTCCACAGAAACGGGAGTGTGTTCACACATTCCTATTCCCTCTCTCTTCCCACTCCCCCATTCTCATCCATCTCCTCCTTCTCCTCCCCTCTTCCCCCTTCTCCACGTTTTCTTCACACATTCATCTCCCCCCTCTCCCCCATCTTCCTTCTCTCCCTTTCTCCTCCCTCTCCCCCTTTTGCCTCCCTCTCCCCCTTTCTCCTCCCTCTCCCCCTTTCTCCTCCTTCTCTCCCTTTCTCCCCCCTCTCCCCCCTCTCCCCCTCTCTCCCGTTCTCCTCCCTCCCTCCTTCACAGCTCCTCTGCGTAGCCTTCAACCAGACGTGGCTAGGGGAGGATAAAACCCGCATATCATGCAAACTCCAAGCCCAAATCACCCCGGCAGTATCCACAACAACCCCATCAACAGCCCTCAACCACCCCCGTGTTCTCCCCCCTCCCTCCTTCCCAGCTCCTCTGCGTCGACTCCAACCAGACGTGGCTAGAGGAGGGAAGAACCCGCATATCATGCAAACTCCATGCTCAAATCACCCCAGCCATGACACCAACCCCATCCCCAACCCCACCGAGCCCTCAACCACCCCCTCCTCCTCCGCCTCTAGCCAACTACACGATCCTAGGTGTGCCCGTGACTGTGCTACCAGGCCCGCAGAGCTGCCAGCAGCTGTGGCGGGCATTTGGCGTCGCCTCTCCCTCGCGCTTCTTCCAGATGAATCAGGGCCTCTCGTGCGATGCACTGCTGCCGTACAGCCCCCTGCAGGGCAATATGATGACAAGGGTGAGTTGGGTTGCCTGTGTGCGGTGGGTGGGGGGGCAAGTGGGGAGACGCGCAGTGTTTGCCATCGCCTTCCCCACGCGCTTCTTCCAGATGAATCCCGGCCTCTCGTGCGACTCGCTGCTGCCGCACAGCCCCCTGCAGGGCAACATGATGAGTCGGGTGAGTCGGAAAGGTCTGTGTGGGGTGCAGGGGAAGGAGGTTATACGCTATACGCTGCAAATCGTGCCTGTGCCTGTGCCAGTGCCTGTGTCTGGTGCCGCTGTCGATGTCTCTGCCTCTGCCTCTGTCTCTGTCTCTGCCTCTGTCTCTGTCTCCGTCTCTGTCTTTGCCTCTGTCTCCGTCTCTGTCTCTGCCTTTGTGTGTGAAGGTTATTCAACGCAGTTTCTTTTTCTTCCCCTTCCATCCTGTTCCTCACTGATGGTTGACTCACAGATTTGTGTGGCTAGTGTTGACGGCCGGCCGTTATCTGGCAATACATGTTCAACCAAGCGATTGTACAGTGTGAGGCGCGGAGATACTTGCGGCATGTTGATCGCTAAGAGATACCGTCGTAAGATTGACATTTTTAGGAATCTTAACAATGGATATGACTGTACAGTAAATAGGTTGTGGGCTGGCTTGTTGCTTTGTTTACCCTAATCTACTTATCCACCATGTGCTGAAACGTCAAAGCAAGGTCTTGCATTTATCAGCAGAACCAGTAATAGTAGTCTGAAAGTTCCACATGTTCTGTAGTGTAGGCCGATTCTACAGAGTTGAATCCACGGAGTGTACTGTAAGGAATTTGGCATTCCTGCAGAGTGTAGTACTTTTCGGGTGTAGAATGTTTCAGGGCGTGTTAGAGTTTTTGTTTTTGACGGTACGGACAGCCGGCTGCCCGGTCGTTTATAGGGTAACCAAACTCGTCTTGCATATATTCGACACCGTATCTCTGTTGTTCTAGTAACCCTACAAAATCCGGACAGTCAGCTGTCCAGACGATCATAATTAAAGGATGTAACACGCCCTTAGACGAGCTCAGGGGCTGTGATGCGAGGGTCCGTTCCTCACAACATGACTGGTCACGCCCTCAGCAAACAACTCTCATCCTTGCCTAGCCATTCCCTTCATTCACCAACAGCACCTATCCCATTCACAAGCAGAAGCAGCTGGAGTCTCGTATCAGTCAAGTTACACCATCAGAGGCTGAACAGCCAGTGTCTGCTGTTGTCCTTCGAATTAGGTTACCTTGTACTATGGTTTGAATTCGTCTGTTTCGTATGCGAGCCGTCGTCAGCTTCTTGCTCCCACACACCTCAACAATCAGATACCGTTTTTTTTCCATTCCATAAAGCGAAACGCTTTGCTATCAATCTTGTAGGACATAGCGCTTGCGACTCCGTTCCATTTATAATTGACAGATCGGACCAATGGCGAAGCGAGGATTTGACACGGAATATTCCGTTTTAGACGACGCGAGGGGGGATTCGGAGGAATGCAAACGGCACAAAATTGAAACGGACGACACCGTTGTCAGGCTTCAGGAGCTGTTGACTGTCCTTAGCAAGAAGGTGGAAACTATTGAACAGACCCTGGTTGAAGACAGAGAAGCGAGTAGGTCAAGCATTCGACGGTTAGAGGATGACCTAGCACGGGAGAGGGCTGCAAGGGAGGATAAGGAAATGGAGGTGCATGCGTTGTCAGCGCGCCTGGCGCTTGCAGAGGAAGCGCTGGCTCAGCGGAAGGAGGAGATGCGGAAGGTCTGGGAGGTGAGACGTCGCGAAAGTCGCCACCTCTGATTGCGTGTCATGGAACTCGGAAGGGGTTCCCGTCGTTTTGTGGTTGCTGATCATTTCGCACCATAATTGCTGATTTTTCCGCACCATAGTTGATGGTAAGCCGCACCATGGTGTCTTATTATTCCGCACACTCATTCCTGCCATACTTTCAGGCAATTCCGGAAGCCGTTCGTCAGCTTCCCACAGAGGAGGACAAGCAGATAATCAGTCTCCACCCTGGAACCACCGAAATCACGCTCAATGACCCTTCTCACGTGACACTCTTCGGTTTCCTGCGTCTCTCCTGCATGCGATCCCTCAAGAGCATCTCCGTTATTGGAAATCTCGAAAAGCCTGCTCTTCTGCACCTCTACTCCATGACATGGCTGGAAGAGCTGAGACTGGAATCTGTTTCCGAGCCCTTGTTGCCTGAAATCGCGAATCTTAAAGCCCTTCGCCATCTGGAGTTGCGTGATACTCCAATGTCAGGTAATGGGCTTGCTAACCTCACAACCCTGTCCTCGTTACAGAGTCTTGTTCTGTCTCAGCAGTTATTGGGGGGGAGCTTCACGTCTGACAGCATGGTATATGTGGGAAAGCTGGGAAATCTGGAGCACCTGGATATTGCTAATACGCAGGTGTGTGATTACGGGTTATGGTGCCTTACCCCTCTGGTCAAGTTAAGATGGCTTAGCCTCCCCCCAAATATTACCTATCGGGGGATGGAATACCTAAAGTGTTTCAGGTCGCTCAAGACTCTGTTGCTGAGGTTTCAGTTTTTTTGTTGAATGCTTGAAAGCATTCCCTTGCCTCGAAAACGTAGGAGTTAGCGATCACCACACACTAGAAAAAGTGAAGCTGGTCCTTCCAGGCATTAATTCGTTCGTTATTGGTGCATAATCATGCTACATTATTGAGTGTTTTTTCCTTGCACCTTCCAGTACCTACTGTAGCCATGTGTAATGGTTGAATGATGGGAGCAGGCTGGCAAGGTAGGCTGCCATTCAGTGTTCACGTGGATGGAGGTCTGATTGAGTACTCAGGGTTGTTAGTAGTACTTCTGGTTGGTAGTGTGAACTCGGGGGGAGTGGGGGAGGTGTTAGGTTGCTTGCTAGTAGTGAGGAATTTGGAAGAGGTTTCTAGGGATTTGCTGAGGGAAAGGGGGACGTTTTTTAATGCAAGGGCAAGATTGTCTGCAGGACGGGGTGCGTGGTGAAAGGTGCGAGAAAAGGGCTGGGTTGCAAGAAACGAGACGAATAGGGAATTGGGAGGTGGAAGAGGCGCAAGTGACATTGGGAGTTGGATTGGAAGAGGCACGAAGCACTTGGAGGGGGGGAGGATGGAGGGGGGCAGTGAAGAGGAGGAAGAGAAGCAGGGTGGGAGAGGGTGGGGTGGGGGGGGCTGTGACTTTGTGATAATCATGAGGTATTATGGGAGTTGGGCAGGGAGAGGTGCGAGCGAGGGACTGGGGGAGTTGGGCAGGGGGAGATGCGAGGGACTGGGGCAGTTGGGCAGGGGGAGATGTGAGGGACTGGGGCAGTTGGGCAGGGAGAGATGCGAGGGACTGGGGGAGTTGGGCAGGGGGAGATGCGAGGGACTGGGGGAGTTGGGCAGAGAGAGGTGCGAGGGTCTGAAAAGCTGAACTTGGTGATGAGCGGGGGAGGGGAGGGGGGGGGGGGGGGGGAGACGGGGGGTGGTGGGGGGAGGGAGGGAATCAGGCTGTGAGAAGCATTAGACTCTGGTGGTGGGTCGGAACTTGGAAAAGGCATACCGTACGGGATCAAGGGACGTGGGATGTGCGAGGCGTACGGGGAGGTATACATGTACCTACAAAAGGTGGCTGGGATAGATTGGGCAAGTTAAGCTGGGGAGAAGGAAGAGTTGGAATGTGAGAGGGTTATAAACAACAAAATTTCAACATCCCGTGGGAGTATCAAGAGGAAGTGAAAACGCCATTCTGAACAGGTTACCACCAGTACACAGTTTTTGTGCTGACCACCTGAGATCCAGACGATAAAGCATATTTGCAAGCATTCTATATTTGTTAGCTTTCTGAATTTGCCTATAGACTGCAGCTGTGCTGTGTCACCTCCGCCCTTATCATCATTGGTCGAAATTTTGAGGTAGTGATGACTGGGATCGAGTTGCGATGCTGTGGCAGATTCTAGCCGCAAGTTCAGCACTACATCCTGCAGTCGCAACATCACCTAGGCCCAGTTCGGCAGCCACGGAAGGACGGAAGGAAAAAATTCAGGAGTCACTCAGTGAAAATTCAGGAAAATTGCATTGCAATGGTGCATTATCGGAAAGTTGAGTGGCTGTGAACTGCTGTTGACCAACTCTTTGGCCCTGTTCGGTAGCCCCGCCGAGTGAACTTCCGTGGCGTTGGCACTCAAACAGAAGTACACCGAGCCACACGTTTGGGCACGTGTCGGTGGGTGCTTCCCATCTCCTGTAAGTTTCCCAACTCCGAGGGGCGATCCGCACGCCCTCGAAACTCCGTGTAGGGAAGTTGCGAGGGTCGTGGGCGGATCTCGTTCAAAATTCTGTTGCGTACTGCCCATACTGCCCCTCTCGTCACCAAGAAAATAGATTCTCACAAAGGGGTACCTGGGCCACAAAAATACACAAATAGGAAGATTTGAAGGTCTTTGGGCAGGTTAGCGCTGGAAAAAAAAGAAGACAATTATGCGGTTTTTTTTTTTTTTTTCACCCTACCAGGCCTTACTCCAAGTAGGCGAGGCTTACTCTCCCAAAATGCTGGAGTAAGCGGAGTTGCTCCGCGGAGCTAAGTTTGCTCCGGAGTGTTTAAACTTCCGCCACACTTGCGAAGCGGGAATCAGTGAACTCACTTGAAGCTCACTAACTCCGCTTAAGGGCGCTACCGATCAGGGCCTTTGAAATCGAGAAAGGCCTACGGTATTGTTGCCTGCATCACGAAGTTCAGATGAGAAATGAAGTGACGTGCATTTCTTATTTTGCTCCATAGGTTATTTCCGCTAGGCGTTTTGGGCTACCCTTTTGGCTAGGAGCTTGTGGTTTTTTTCACCACAAAATGGCAACGGCAACCGTCAAGCTCTTGGAGGAGATTAAGAGTTTGCTGACAACAAAAGTGGCAAGGTTAGAAAAAGGTCTGGAGGAGCTGAGGGAGGCGAATAAAGTCAGCGTAAGTGAACTTAAAGATGAACTAGCTCGGGAACGAAGCATTTGGGAGGAGAAGGAAAAGAAGATGGCTGCGAGACTGGACAAGGCAGAAAAAATGCTGGTGCAACAGCGGGATGAAACGAAGAAGCTATGGCAGGTGAGAATGGTTTGACTGGGGGAGTAGCTAAAGCTTTCATATAAGTTTGTAGACTTGTCTTATCCCATTTCTCTGTCATGCTGGCCGCTCATTCTCTGTACATCGTTTTCTTTCTTTCAGGCTATATATGAAGCCTCACGTCGCTCTACCGAACAGCCAACAACTGGTGCAGATGGGGCGATTGTTGGTGTTTCTGCTGAAGCCACTGAAGTCAAGCTGAGCAACAACGGTGGGCCATTGACGGGCTTTGGAACTCTTCGCCTTTCCTGCATGAAATCCCTGAAGAAACTTGACATTTGCAGAATTTTGGATGAAAGCGCCTTCACCCATCTCTACACCATGACATGGTTGGAGGAGCTTACTCTGCGAACAGGAACTGGAACTTTTAGCAGCACAATGGCGCAAGGGGTTGGGAATTGGACGGTGCTTACTCGACTTGATTTGATTGATTGCAAGATTTCAGACGCTGGGCTTGCTCAACTGACAGGCCTGGGTTCTCTGCAGATCCTTGTCCTTTCTCGTACCCAGAATCAATACATTGATCCCAGCAGCATTCCCTCATCAGCAGGCATGGTGCATGTGGCTAAGTTGAAGCGTCTCATATCACTGGATATTAGCGCATCTCTGGTACGGGACGATGGACTACGGCATCTGAGTTCCTTGGAGAAGCTGACATGGCTGAGTCTCCCAAGTAAGGTTTCTGCTCGCGGATTGCAACATTTGAAATGCCTGTCCCTCAAGACCGTCCTGTTCAGGTCCTCCCTTGACCGTTATGGAGTGGAGCATCTGAAGGCTATTCCTAGCCTTGAGAAGGTTGGCCTATCCGACACCTACGATGTCAATATTGTGAAGAGGGCTCTTCCAGACATAAATGTTTTCCGACTTCTGGAGTGGAGCATCTGAGTGCTGATCCTGTAACTTTATAGATAGCCTTGCCTTTGGGATTCTTAACTCCTGCTTTTGATTTGTAGCATTCCATTAAGGCATTAAGCTCTTTGATGAGCCTGTTGCTGCACATCAAGCAAGAGCACTGCAAATCATCCAAGTAGAATGTATATTGCACAAAGGGCCATTGCCACACCTGTCCTCAACCTCTTGAGCACAAATGCAGCACAGCCAGGCCCTACGATATCAGGAATTTTTCCCTGAAATTCCTGATTTCCAGGGTTTTTTTTTAACCTACACTGATTTTCCAGTGTTCAGCTTTTTGTGGGGCTGATTTTTCAGCCTTCACCTAGCACATGACTCTGAACTTTCAGCAAATTTTTTTTAGTGACTGATTCCACTACGTTGTAACGAATCCGACCCTGAAAGCGATTCCTACACGGTTCGTGTGTAGTTGCCCGGCTGTACAGGGAATATCAGATTCCCGCGGTGTCAGCAGGGCGTGGCGGTGAGTAGCAGACAAATTTGCCTCGTAGAGGGATGCGTTGTTGGCGCGCGTGGTGCGATGATTGGCCACTTTGACAGCATTTCCTGATTTGGCCAATTACAGGGTTGCAGCACAACGATGCTGGCAGGCAGCGCAACGAGGGATTCAGGCCCATGTGAAGCACCTGTGGTCCTCTGGCCCGTTTTGTCTAAGTCGTGCTGGCAAGCACGGATGCATCCACGCCGCCCAGCCGTGCTGCCAGCCATCCAGTCTCCCACCCCAGTCTGCTCCATGCTTTCCTTCCATCTAGCAAGGGTAAGGTTTCATCGCGTTGCTGCCTGGTGTACCAAGAGGCAGTCAGCCGTGTGTCCTCTCTTCCTGGCAAACCTCCATCGTTCAGCTAGCTAGGGAGTCCCGTTAGATGCTGCTTGTTCACAGCGCAATCAATGGCGGACCACCCGGACGCCATTGAACGACCTGATGACCCCGGCGATGAACCCGCTCGTCGTTCGCCAATTGATCTGTCCGCGGCCGTTACCGGGCTGGATCTGCTATTCTCCAACTTAGCGGCAGTAGATAACCATGGAAAGGCGCCTGCAGTCGCGCCGACCGTCGATGTTCCATTTGAACCCATCGACGAGCATCTGTGTCCCTCCCCTACTGTGCCCGTGTTGGAGCAAGACAGCTCCAACCCTTCAGGTGAAGAAATCGCGGCGGTGCCAGTGGCTAAGAAGTCCGCCAGGTACACGCAGTCAACGCTGCCGTGGCCCAAGAAGGGAGGTCCCGCTGGTGCAACACCGGCTTCGCCAGCCGACCAACTGTCGACGCCCGCGACCGCAGGCACGCAGGCGTCGCCCTCAACACCTGGGCCTTCTAAACCGGCAGGGCCAGACGCAACCTACGCGGAGGCTCTGTATAAGTACAAAAGCGAGTGGCTCGAGCGGTTTTCTTGGCTTATTCTGCTAAAAAAAACTGACGGTTTCCCCGCTTTCAAGTGCAGCATCTGTACGGAGCACGCAGGCTACGCTGGACCGTGTGGGAGAGGCGGAAAGGGCGCCACAGACGTTCAGACGCAGGCGTTCAAACGGCATGCGGCAACTACCAAGCACAAGGAGGCGTTGAAACACCAGCAGAAGCTTCTCGACGACGGCGCTACGCAGCCACGGATCAACGGCGACAATCTCGCTCGCGACACGGAGAAGGAGCGGGTCGTCAAGCTCCTCGACTCCCTGCTCTTCGTGACCAAGCAAGATGCACCCATAGAGTTATGGGTGAATCTTGTGCGCTACCTCGCGCGACTCAAGGTGCCCGGGTTCCCAGCAAAAGGCTACGGAACCTATTATACTACGTGAGTGTTGAATTAATCTAACTGCAACCGTGTTTGTGAAAATCAACCGAATTATCTGACGTTGTGTTGTTTGACATGCGCTGCAGCTACGGCTTCGGGCAGCTGACACAGTCGATGGCCACATGGTTGCACACAACGCAACTGCAGCACATCCTCAGCAGCCCATACATTGGCGTCACGTGCGACGAAAGCACGGACAGGTGTCGGGGAAAGCATATGATTGTTTTCGCGACATTCATCCGTGAAAATCGTCCCGTGACTGGGTTCCTTGCCCTGCTGACCGTGGAGAAGGGCGATGCAGCCTCTCTCCTCTCAGTGCTCTTGTCCCACCTGCAGGCCCTAGGCATTGAACTGGCGAGGATATCCGGCATAAGCACTGATGGAGCGAGAGTGATGATGGGGAAACACAACGGCCTTGTCGCTCGACTTCGCCTCCGCATCCCGCATCTTGTTTTGAGCCACTGCATCGCCCACAGGTCAGTTTTCATCTTCTGTTTACTGCTTCCATACAGCCCCTGCTGCATCCCCTGCTAACCCCTCCTTGAGCCGGTTTTAATGCTGGTGTGCATGCAGGGAGGCCCTCGCAGCAAAGGACGCCGCTGAACAACTCCCCGAGTTCGGCATGGTGGACTCCCTGCTCCGCCAAGTGGCAGAGCATTTGGGGCGTTCTGGCCCGTGGCATCAACGCTTCATTGGCCTGCAGGAGGTGTTCACGAAAACAAACCTGGAGCTACAAGGGATCCACGACGTCCCCTGGCTCTCCCACGGTGACGCCATTCTGCGCGCGGTAGAGGTCTTCCCCGCGCTGATCGTGATGCTGTATGAGTGGGACATCACCCTCTACGAGCTCGCCACGAGCTACAGGTTTCACTTTCTGCTATACTTCCTTGCAGACGTCCTCGAGCAGCTCAATGTGCTGAACAGGGCATTCCAGCAGCGTGAGGTGAGCTTGGTTACTATCGTTGCTGGATTGTGTGCCTTGTTTCGGTTTGTGAGTCACTGTTTGATGTACTGCTTAAGCAGAATCTGCTTTGCACTGATTTGGCCTTCTCTCCATCCTCTGTTCGCCCTGTTGACCCCTAACAGCTGGACATTGCAAGTGTCCACGGGCAGATCCGCCGGTCGATTTCATTCCTAGAGTCCCGCTACGTCGACTGTGGTGACGACTTTGGAGGCGGGGTGAGCGCGCGCCTCTCCCCGTTCATCAAGAAGCACGGGCCTGAGGGGGGCAATCCCGAGGTGAAGGTGCAGGGAGTCGACTCGGACGGGCGGCCCACGACACACACCTTCGAGCTGCACGAGAAGCCGAGCGAAGACTACCCGACCCTCGGCTCCCACGACGCCTGCGTCGATCTCTGCACCACCTTCGCCGAGACGCTCGTGCAAAACCTCAGCACACGGTTCCAGGACCTGGACTCCCTGGTGGGAGTGCGGCTGTTCATGCCTGACGAGTGGGAGCTGGGGAGAGCAGAGCGCCACAGGCAGTGTCTCGAGTGGCTCGAGTCTCTCGTGAGGCTGTTCAGGGCACAGGACACGGACTACATCATTCCAGGTATTCCCGCTCTCGCACTGTTGCTGTCCGTCTTATTATGTCATTGCATTTCATCAACGTATGGTGTACGCACTTGCCAGCCTTTCAAAAACCCCCTCTCTCTCTCCCTTCCGCATTATGTGGCAGGGGTCGACAAGCGGCGTGCGATCAAGGAGCTGCGGGCCTTCTGCCCCATCCTCGCAGGTGCCCCGAAGAACGAGCGGAGCTTCCACGCAGGCCTAACAGCAATGCTGAAGACAAGCGACTGGGCGACTGGCTACCCCAATCTGGTGCGTCTCTGGGTGGCTGTCGCCGTGCTGCCGCTGAGCACAGTGGAGTGTGAGCGCGGCTTCTCACGCCAAAACGTTATCAAATCGTGGCAGCGGGGGAGCTTGAAGGACGCCCGCCTCGAAGACCTCGTCACCATGTCTCTACTCGAGTACGAGCCCAACTACGATGAGGTGGTGCAGATCTGGCGCAGCTACAAGAAGCGCCGCCCATTCGGCAATGTGGCGGCACCACCCGAAAGAGAGGGAGAGGGCAGGGATAGCACGGGAAAGGAGGCCCTAGAGGAGGAAGAGTGGGCAGAACGACAGGCTAAGGGAAGAGAAGATGATGATGACAAGCAGGCCTCATCAGATGATGATTACTGAACTCACCCAGACCCAGAGTCATGCTGGATGCAATGCATAGCTAGCTAGCAAGCAAGATAGGCTTTGGTTTACAACACAGATAGATAGATTGAAGGCTGTTTGCGACCTTTATAGAGTTTTAAGTTAAAAAATCAGCTTCACTACTATCAGCCTTTTTCTATAGGTGACACTGATGCATCAGACTTTTTTTTTAAGTAACACTGAACTTTCAGGTTTTTTTCCTAGGCGACCCTGTCGATCAGGGTCTAGGGCCAGAGGGACCCTGATACCCTTACGTGCCTCAAAGTGAATCTGAGGGCCTGAGCACAGCACGTGCCCGCACGGCACAGCATGTGCCCGCACGGCACAGCATGTGCCACAGCATGTGCCCGCACGGCACAGCATGTGCCACAGCATGTGCCCGCACGGCACAGCATGTGCCCGCACAGCACAGCATGTGCTGTGCCCGCACGGCACAGCATGTGCCCGCACGGCACAGCATGTGCCCACACGGCACAAACGCTGCCTTCCTCGGCCTCTCCAAGCACACACGGCACACCCACCCTTCCCCCCCTCTGCTCCACTCCCCTCAACATCCTTCCCAGCTACTATTCCTCCTTCCACTCCCTCTCCTCTTCCCCTCTTACCGCTCCTCCCCCGTGCCTACCCCTGCGCCCCTCCTCTTTCTTCCACTGCTCCTCCCCTCAGTCTCTCCAACCCCATGTACCTTCTGCTGTCGGTTAAACCACCACCCCAAGCGTGGGTGTGGGTGAGAGCAGGGCTCTGGGTTCGTCTGGATGACACCTGGATTGGCGGGCCTCCCAGGACTGCCACCAGTGGCACTCCTGCTCCTGCTACACTCCTTGCTACACTCCCTGCTACAGTCCCTGACATGGTGCGAATTGCAGTACTTGCTACAGGACCTGCTACAGTGCCAAGTCACGGTGTTCTACCGCCACTGCACTCCCTGCCGTGTGCCGGCTGCTGCCATCGCTGTCACCACCCATGCTGATGCTAAGAACCATGAAAGACTCATGCTGGCCGGCACTCAGCAGGAGCAGAGGCACTGGCAAGGCTGACAAGGCGTGCAGAGTCGGCAGCAACAGCGGGGGAATCGTCGTTATTGTGCCACTCCCAATCCGCCTCCCCTGCTGCACTGCCATCGATCTTGAAGAGAGCAAAGCCGAAGGCAGCTTCACGAAAGGCCGACCACGCCGGCTTGGGGGAGACGAAGCTGAGAGGGGAAAGGGGGTGGAGGGAGGGAGAGGGAGGGGGAGGGAGGGGATGGGATGTTTGTAAGAGAATGGAAGTTTATGGTGTTACAAGACGTCTCAGTGTACAGCTGAATTTCCTAGGGCAGAGTATTAGGACGTCTTACAGCACAGCACAGCTGGTGTGCCCAGGATAGGACGCGGGTATACACAAGACGTCTCAGGGTACAGGTGATTTTCCTACAGTCAGTATTAGCACGCCTCACAGTACACAGCTGACCTACCTAGGGTATAGATCCTTCCCGCCGCTCCCAACGGTGATGTGCATGATCCCACAGGGGTCCTCCTGGCCATTGTACACGCGGGTCTGATGGGGTGGAGATAGGACAAGCAAGTGACAGAGAAGAAGGAATGAAGAGGTGAACCAAGGAAAAGGGTGGGCTGAATCCGGGGCAAAGGGATGCGCATGATCCCACAGGGGTCCTCCTGGCCGTTGTACCCGCGGGTCTGATGGGATGGAAATGATGAGAAAAGGGATGAAAATGGAGGTGAATGACACGAAGGATTAGGCTCAGCTGGGGTCGAAAGGACGTGAATAATCCCACAGGGGTCCTCCTGGTCGTTACAACTCACCGTGCGTTCGTACGCATGCACGTGGCCGGTGATAAGCATGTCAACGCGGGCAGCGAGAGCTTGCTGATACGTCTCAAAGCTTGTTACAGCGGCCGTTACAATGGTCGTTACAGCTTACCGTGCGTTCGTACGCATGCACGTGGCCGGTGATCAGCATGTCAACCCGGGCGGCGTACAGCGTCTGTTCCAGGGCCTTCCGCATGGCCTGCCCATCTGTCTGGTGGTCACTGTTAGAGTGATACCAGGGCTCGTGCAGCGATGCTATGAGCCAGGGGGTTCTCGAGCGATCGACGGCTGACAAATCACTCTGCAAGGGAAGGTATAAAGAGGCATGGATGGGTGCAGAGCGGTGAGCGTCTGTTCCAGGGCCTTCCGCATGGCCTGAAAGTCTGTCTGGTGGTAGCTGTTGGAGTGGTACCACGGCTCGTGCAGCGATGCTATGAGCCAGGGGGTTCTTGAGCGATCCACACTGGATAGATTTTTCTGAAAATGGAGGGTACAGAGGGACACGGATCGGTGCAGAATGGTGAGAATGGGATGTGGTGGTCGCTGTTGGAGTGATAGCAGGGCTCGTGTAGAGACACCACCAGCCAGGGGGTTCTGTCTGGTCCGATCCACGCTTGATAGATCCCTCTGCAAGGATGAGGGGATGGACGTTCAGAGGGGTACAGATGGGCGCAGAATGGTGAAGTGGGTGTCCGTCTGATGGTCGCTGTTGAAGTGATACCAGGGTTCTTGCAGGGATGCTATGAGCCCAGGGGCTTTTGAGTGATCCACGGTTGATAAGTCCCTCCGCAAGAGAAAGGATGAGGGGATGGGACGGAGGGACAGAGATGGGTGTAGCGTGGTGAGAGTGGGTGTCTTTTGGTCGCTGTTGGAGTGATTCCAGGGTTCGTGCAGGGATGCTATGAGCCAGGAGGTTTTTGAGCGATCCACGGTTGACAAATCCCTCTGCAAGGAAAGGTACGAAGAGATATGGATGGGTGCAGAGCGGTAAGCGTCTCTTCCAGGGCCTCCCTTCCTCATGGTCTGTCCGTCTGATGGTCGCTGTTGAAGTGATACCAGGGTTCGTGCAGGGATTTTAGAGCACGGGGGTTTTGGACCAATCTGTGCTTGATGGGTCTCTCTGCAAAAAAGAGGATGAGGGGATGTTCAGAGGGGTAGAGATGGGTGCAGAACGGTGAAAGTGGGTATGCATGTGGTGGTCCCTTTTAGAATGGTACCCGGGCTCGTGCAGGGATGCCACCAGCCAGGGTGTTCTGGACCGATCCACACACGACAGATCCCTCTGCAAGGGAAGGTACAAAGCGATATGGATGGGTCCAGGGCGGTGAGCGCTAAGGGAGGCAATGCTAGATGTGACTAAACGGGATGTGTTCTTGAAGAAAGCTCACATGCAGCCATTTGCGCTGGTCAGGGTCGGGGCCAAATGGCGAGTAGAGCAGCACGAGAGCACGATGATATGTGCCCGTCCCACCTCAAACGAGTAAAACAGCTTAGAAGGCGACTTACTAGGGGAGGCAATGGTACATGTGACTAAAGGGGATGTGCTCTTGACGAAGGGCTTTCTCACCTTTAGCCATTTGCGCTGCTTGGAGTTGGGGCCAAAGGGTGAATAGCAGGAGAGGCGAGCACGATGACAACCTTCGCCTGTAAGGCTCATTCGCGTTATTCTTTCTTGAAGGCTCACCTTCAGCCACTTCCGCTGGTCAGAGTCAGGACCGAAGGGTGAGTAGCAGGAGAGCACGATGATATGCGCCCCTGCCACCTCAAACGAGTAGTACAGCTTAGAAGGCGACCCGCTGGCAGCAGAAGGCATCTCCCACCGCTTTTTATACGCCAGAAAAGCACCGCCGTTTAGCAAAGCAGATCGCTTAAGAAACGCGGGCCACTCGAACCCCTTTGGGCTGATCGCGCTAAGTGCCTCGGCTTCGTGGTTTCCAGGCACGACCATCCAAGGGTGTGTGCTGGCGTCTGGTTCAATCAGAGACTGCCACCTGTCCCACACGGATTGGAAGCCGTTGGCGTAGGATAGGTCCCCCGGGACGAGGGTGAGGGAGTGGGGCTGCTGGGCGAGACGAGAGATGGTGGTGCGGGCTGCCTTGGACAGACCAATGTCACCTGGACGGGAAGCAGGGCACGAGAAAGGGGTGTAAGAGGAGTGGAGAGGAGGGTGAGGGAGTGGAGCTGCTGGGCGAGGCGGGTGACGGTCGTGCGGGCTGCTTTGGACAGACCGATGTCACCTGGAAAGGACGCAAGGTGGGAGAGAGAGAGGAATGGGAAGGAGGGAGAGAGGAGTGGAGAGGAGGGTGAGCGAGTGGGGCTGCTGAGAGGGACGAGAGATGGTTGTGCGGGCTGCCTTGGACAGACGAATGTCACCTGGACGGGAAGCAAGCAATGCAAGGGAGAGGAATGGGAAGGAGGGTGAGAGACCTGTATCAACCTTTAAGGGCAAACAAGGAATCCGTCAACAAGATCTGTTTAAAACATCTCGTGGCATAGGAGCAACCTACGGGTATCCCTCCCACCCAGCCTCAATCCCTAAACCTATCCCCATCCGCATGTTGACGCCTCCCTCTCCCACCTGCTCCCGCCCACTCCCACCCGCTTCCACCAATCATCACACCAGCTCTCACCAACAACAGCGATGCTGACGTCAGCAGCAGCATCAGAACCACCCCCTCCTAATTCTCACCATGCTCCCACCCACTCCCACCCACCCTGGACTCAACTCCCGATTCCCGAACCCACTGTCTCACCAACAATAGCGATGCTGACGTCAGCAGCAGCATCGGTGGGCGGAGTTACAAAGGACCGTTCTGGCCCCTTCCCTGCGATGCGATAGTAGTAGGTGGTTTCGGGTTGCAGATTCGAGAGCACTGCGCTGTGCAGCTGGTCCGACCTGCACAGGTGACGTGATGGGATGGGGAGAGGAAAGGTGGAGGGTGGAAAGGGAAAGGGAGTACAAGTGAGCGTTCTGGCCCCTCCCCTGCAATGCAATAGTAGTAGAAGGTGGTTTCGGGTTGCAGGTCTGATTGCACAGCGCTGTGCAGCTGGTCCGACCTGCACAGGTGGTGGATTGGGGAGGATTACCACACAACGGGAGGAGAGGGGAAATAGTCAAGGGAGGGTATTACAAGGGATCGTTGCGGTCAGTGGTGTCTCTCCTGCAATCCGATAGCAATAATAGGTGGTGGCTAGGTGGAGGGTTGGAACGTGAAGCAAGAAAAGGTGACTCTGGTACGAAGTGCATTCATGGGAAGGAAAAGCGTTGAGCCAGATTGGAGGACGAAAAGAGAGAAGTTAGGTGTATGAGAGAAGCAAGCAATGAAAAAGAAAAGGGAATAACCTTTTTTCTAGTGTACTCACGTATAGGTCAGGAAGGTGTAGCTGGAAGACTTCCCCATCGCCTTGTTGGTGTATTGCCCAGAAGTTACCCCGAACTCCACCAATGACGACGTACCACGGCGAGACGTAGACCATATGACTCTGATGCTGCTGGGGCCGGCAAGAGCTAAGTGTACCTGGGGAATGGGCAAGAGAAGAGAGGCATAACTCTGATGACCACATGACTCTGATGCTCTCTGATGACCACATGACTCTGATGCTCTCTGATGACCACATGACTCTGATGCTCTCTGATGACCACATGACTCTGATGCTCTCTGATGACCACATGACTCTGATGCTCTCTGATGACCACATGACTCTGATGCTCTCTGATGACCACATGACTCTGATGCTCTCTGATGACCACATGACTCTGATGCTCTCTGATGACCACATGACTCTGATGCTCTCTGATGACCACATGACTCTGATGCTCTCTGATGACCACATGACTCTGATGCTCTCTGATGACCACATGACTCTGATGCTCTCTGATGACCACATGACTCT